AACCAGATTTTTTTTTTTCAATAAATAGTTTAGGATAAAAACCCGCGAAAGTTTTATGTTGGTCTAATTGATTAGTTCCCATTCTTGTTTCTTTATTTAATTTCCTGTTTGTGAATACAGTTTAAGGTAACCAATCAAAACTACGAAACAAATGCACAGCGTGTAAATAGTGTGGATCGATACCGGTGTAGGTTTTATCCTTTGTTAATAATGTGTACAATTTTCCTCGTTATAGGTACATAGTTATAATACAAATAGTGAAAATAATTTGAAAGTTATTGTGTTTTTAATATTTTTTTATTCTTTATTACCTTTATATCATTTATTTTCAGCAAGATAATTAATACATACAAATTAATCCAATTCAGAAACGGAAAAACGCGTGGTTTGAAAGTTATTTGATAAAACTACAGATATTTTATATTATTTTGTTTTATGTTTAAATAAGAAAAATAAAATTATTGAAAATTTTATTGAAAATTTGAAAATTATTGAAAATTTACTTACATCATGAGCGTAACTGAAGCGATTTCATTGAATGGTAAAACAAATTGTACACCTGAGAAAAAGTTGAGATTGAATATTAATGAAAAAGAAAGTGAAGCGGAATGTGGTCAAAATAAAAATCAACACGAGGAATGTCAATATTTGTCTTTAATTAATGAAGTCCTTGTAAAGGGTGTCAAGAAATCTGACCGTACAGGAGTGGGCACAATGTCTCTTTTTGGAACCCACATGAGATTTAGCTTAAGAGACAGTACGAAAATTTATTTTATATATTTACCATTATAATTACAAAGAAGAAAGTTACAACAAAGTTATTGGTTTATTGCAGATGTATTTCCATTACTAACTACAAAGCGAGTATTTTGGAAGGGTGTAGTTGAAGAACTACTTTGGTTCATAAAGGGATCAACAAATGCAAAAGAATTATCATCTAAAAATGTTCATATTTGGGATGCAAATAGTTCTCGTAAATTCTTAGATTCATCTGGTTTTGTAGATAGAGAAGAAGGAGATTTAGGGCCTGTTTACGGATTTCAATGGAGACACTTTGGAGCAGAATATAAAGATATGCATTCTGATTATAAGGGTCAAGGTGAATGATAATACACCAAACTACAATCAAAGTTAAATATTTTAATAATGAATATTTTATATAAATAGGTATAGATCAATTAAACGAAGTCATAAATAAATTACGAAATTCTCCTGACGATAGAAGAATTATTATGTCAGCTTGGAATCCAATTGATATTCCAAAAATGGCATTGCCTCCATGCCACTGTCTTGTTCAGTTTTATGTTAGCAACGGTGAATTATCTTGTCAACTTTATCAAAGAAGTGCTGATTTGGGTCTTGGAGTACCTTTTAACATAGCATCCTATTCTCTGTTAACGTATATGTTGGCTCATATTGCAAATTTAAAGGTAAATTTATATAAAAATACACCAATGAATTTTCAACTGAAACTTATATTTTCTTGTTTATTCTTAGCCAGGTGAATTTGTACATACAATGGGTGACTGCCACGTGTATCTCAATCATATATCCGCGCTTAAGGAACAGATAGGACGCGAGCCGAAACCGTTTCCACATTTAAAAATTGTTAGGAACGTTGAAAATATCGACGATTTTGTAGCGGAAGATTTTGAATTAATCGGTTACAAACCACATGCGAAAATTACTATGGCGATGGCGGTTTAACCATTAGATAAACGACTATTGCATATCATTTTCTGATAAACAGAATCGATGTTGAAAAAGTAAACATTTCCAATACAATTTCAAATGATTGAATCCATATAATTCAAGTTCACAATTTCTAACCATATCTATATTTTATTTCCTAATAAAAATTATGTTTTTAATAAACTCGTATCTTAATAATTGTACATATACATACAAGGTGTACCTAAGTACCTCGAATAGACTAAAACTTTGTTCTTATTGAAGTTTGAAAAAAATGGTAAAGGAAAATCTTTACCCTATTTAACAAGCTCTATCGTAGTGCAATACCAGTTTTTTGTCAGAAATGCATTGATACAATTGCAAAGTCCAACTGCACATTTTTTAAAAAATGAAACCATATTTTTTCACAAAATTTCTTTGCATTATTTTACATAAGAAAAGCTTAAGATACTATCATTGAAAATTAAGTATTTGTTTTAGATATCTGATTGTGAATATTCAGCATTGTGCATATACTTTGTTATATTTGGATCACTACCCTACTATCTTATTTATTAACAGCGTACTTTCAGTAAATATTAAAAATAACGATTTACGTAAAAAAAACCAGAGTTTCGTTAAAAAAAAGTGCAGCAGCAGTTTATAACTACATGAATGTATTGATAAAAAAAAGTAGTATAGCGGTACAATAAAGTCTGTCGAATAGTGCAAAGCTTTCCTTTATGATATTTTTTTAACTTCAGCAGTAACGAAATTATAGCCTGTCTCAATTACTTAGCCCTGTATATATATTTATATTTATATATAATATATATGTATATATATATATATGTGTGTGTGTATATATATATATGTATATACATATATATACATACATACATATATATCAATTTCTTTCAGTACCGGTCTTGAATATGGTCCATACGTGTCCGTTACAATTTTAAGTTTCGTAAGTGAAAATCGTAAGTATTTCACCACAACACGTATTACAATCACAAAGAAACAAAGAATATTTCAATGACGTAACTGACAAGCATGGACGTTAAAAGGCCTTATGTAAACAACTTTTGAATCTAATAAAAATTACAATTATCTCTATAAAGTATTTGAATCCAGTACTTCCTTAAATCATGTAAACATCTGCTGGAAATATTTTTTATTGTTACATCTGTAGCAGAAAATATATACTTCCTATTATTTAAAGCAGCAGCTTTTAATGAATAAATCGTGTGTTCGCTTGCTTGATTGAAAATAATCAAAAAATATTTTAAAAATGAAAAAAATTTAAGGGAAGTCTCCGGATATCAAGGGCTAACACATTTGTACATCATTAGACTGTGAAGTACTTAACTGATGTAGCTGCTGAGTAACTGCTAAGGTACCACATTCACTCACTGTAATAATCACCCAAATGATATCTAACAATAAAGAAAAAAATATTGTAACTACTGTGACAATTTCATGAGAATCTCTTAATGACAAAGAAGTAGATGAACTTACCACCAAAATAAGAACCTGTTGAAGTTTTCATTCTCCATTTACTTTGATAGGTCACATCGGGAACTGGAGGACTAACTAGATCAATACCTAGTTCTATCGTCTCTTTAGGACCTAAGGGTGGAACCGGTACCCTTGTACATCCCATTATTATTCCTCCAGTGTGCTGCAAAAAGATACCATCCGGCCATACTTCTGTGCCACTGTTTTGCACACGCCATGACTTTCGAAATTTAGTATCCGGTGGTACTGATTCCCCATTACCAATAGTACTGTCGCATATCAACGTCATGCACGGCAGTTTAACGCCTGGCGATTCAAAATCAAAGTAACTACATATAGCTGCTTGGAGGTTCCTGCAATTACATGGAAATTATTCTTAACAACGAGAAACAGCTGTATCAAATCATCACTGAAGCCATTCTCTTTCTTTATTGTCCTTTTAAACTACATAGCTTATCTCTAAAAAAAAAGGACTCTCAACAAACAGAAATTGAAGATAATGCAATTCATATTCAATTTTGTTTCAACAAATCCATTGTCTCAAATGATATACTTGCTCGTTGAGCTCGAAACAGTGGCAGCTTCGAAAATAATAGGAAAAACGAAAGCATTGCATCTAAGAATACAAACTGTCAGCGGGGGTCAAGATAAGAGATATGAGAAATGAACTCTACATAAACATGGCGCCGTTAGGGTTAGGTCGTGAAACGATCGTCGGTAAGAACGACAGGCGGGAGGGACAGTATCTCACCAGTTATTCATATCAAGGAAGAACCTGGCGGTCGCCTCGTTTAACTGGCTGCAGGCCACCACGTTCTGCAGCTGCTTCACCAGATCATCCTTATCGGTGGTACTTAGACAGCTGAACTGGCGCAACAAATGCTGGTCCAAGTCGTTGTCTACGTTCATGATGTTTCCTTTACCGTTCAATGCCCCATGTAACGCGAAGTGTTGTCAACGTGCACACAGCTCGGGAGTAACGCGTCCCTATTTTCGTTCGTCACGAATTTTTAACTGGAAAATTTAATGTCATTCGCCGTGACGTTCGTCCGTGCGCAGCGAGTGCATGCATCTACGGTACACTCCGCGCGAGAAACACGCGACGCACGACGACGACGACCGCTTTCACGTACAGTCCGTTAAAACCAAGCGATTTCGCTCCGTTTTCTCCGTTCCCTTTGTGACGTGTGTCACCTTGACCTTGGACGCGGATACCAAGTTTTTACAGCTGATAAACAAAGATACGCAAAACCGTCACGAAGAATACTCTCGTAAAATCGACTCGTCCGTTTCCCCACTATCCCCGTGCGTGCGTGCATTGCGGGTTGCCTGCGTGCAGGCTCCTCGAGCGCATGATTTAATTAATACGTCCTTTATAACGATTTCAATCTTCGGATACTTGAAACTACCTTCCTTTTTCTTGAGGGGGACTTGAGATTCTTTAACAATAATAAATGCTTATTATGTATTATAATGAATTTGATAATACGTAATCAATAATTATAATTAATGCCACTTCATATGGTATAAACAGTACAAATTTTGAAAAAAAAGTAGTTAAATACAACAGTAATTTATTTTAATTATATTCAAACGTTAATCAACACTTTTATACAACGCAAAAAGTATCGTTAACGAAGCGCAACAGATATGACCGTTAAGAGATCGTTACTTATACATTAAAGCGCTAAGGGGTATTTACAATTCTGTATTTAAAAGAAAATACGAAAAGCGAGAGAAACGTAGCATCAGATAAGATTAAACGTATACAGAGAATTTTTATATTGTACAACACTTGGTCTCGCTGATTTCCTGCGCATGCGTCAAGCTACGACACACTCGTATCTATTTGCGTCTCTCTGAAAGGACCAGCAATTTTGAAACATCTCGTGATACCTCATAATTGCATTGTCATGCATAATCATAATTGAATTGAGCATGAATTTCTTCAGTGACATTCCGTTGATCGCATTAACACTTACCAGCTGATTTTATAATCTATCAACAACTCTAAGCTATTTTTATAGTACCCTTAACGAAAATTAAAAACGTTATAACATTCTTAGATTTTTTAAATTTCTTCACTACAAAATTTCGATGTGTAGAACAAAATTTTTGGTTACTTTAAAATTGATTCATTAAAATATTTAATACTATAAATAGTGTGATAGTAGAGTGCCTATAGAGTGCAAACGCTTAAACATGTATAATTCATTGTAGGTATCCAAAAATTGAATTAAAAATTGCACGCGGGCAACGTAGTACCCTCCTGAAGATGAACGGTGCACGGTTCCGCGTGCGCGCGCCGGTATCCCCTCCATCATGGCTATGGCCGACGGATGCGCGCGCAACGCGCCGCGTAACAGTTGAAATACGAAAGGCAAGAAGACAGTCGTCTGTAGTTGATCATGCAGATATTCCAAAAACGCCCGAACACAAGGTGATATACCGTCTTCAAAGTGGAAGCTCGCCGACGCGTACGAAAGCATCAATCATTGTTGATCGGGGAGGTGCGTGCAGTCGACGATGACGTATAAATGAGCCGTGCAATAATTACAAACGCTTCCGATAGTAATCAAGACAGTTTTCTTCCCGTTGTGGAATAGGTGCACGGGCATCGATGAAACACTCGAAATCCTTGAATGGTGGTATTTTTGCTAACAGCGGGACATCGTGATGACTTGTTCAATTATACTTACGGTGGCTTTTCTCGTGCCGACGATCGTGAAATAATCGGTACCGGTTCAACGATATCAAGAGAAGAAGACGAGGTAAGCGGACGAGAGCAAAGATCTCTCGTTGAGTTTGAGTGGTTTTTATATTTTCAATAACAATTCAACTTTTCTATTATCCACCTTTTATTTCGTTTCTGCATTCCTCTTACGTTTTATTTTTATTTTAGGGTACCACATAGGATGGCCTTGGTTGCACTGCACATTTTTTATTTATTTTATGTCACATTATCATGTCGTTGCGAGGAACCGTTTCACTGTTGATGCAAATGTACCTACTTTGCTTTTTTCTTTTATTTTCACTGTGCGTTAGAGTATGTTCATATTGAAGTTGATGTGATTATTTCTTGGCAACTGAGAGTAGTCAGGATACATAAAAGAAGAAATTATTTTGCAAGCGTATATTATAGAATCTTCACTTCTGCAGTTATAACAGATTAACAGAAATTGTCCAGTCACTGTATTGTTCCAAATTCATTGTAGATTCCAATGTGTGTAAGATTTTGCTCCATTAATGTTAAACAATATCAGTTAGTTTAGTATATAATATTTTTCAATGCATTTATAACTTAATATTCCAAAGTTGCGTATTTAATGTTTATATTGCGTTTTGTATTTATTTTTAATTCTATATTATTTCTCAAAAATTTGCCGCCGAGAAAAACGTTGTATCAAAATCCAATTGAAACTGTTAGCGAGCAGCATGATTGGACCGTCTTCGGGTGCCGGAGGGATTCCGGATCACGAGGCATCCAATAACCAGTCCCGGATGGCAAAAAAACGGATTTTCGATGATCTAGATATACAGAGTCTGTGCGAGGAAGTCCAGAATGGAAGAAAACGGTACCACCTTGAGGAAATCGAGACTCCAATGGAGCTGGTCACTTCCAATCAAGTGATCGGCGATACCGCGGCACTATTCTCTCCGTTATCGGCTCAGGAAGCTGTCGGGGAGTGTCCTATGACGCGCTTGGAGGTCCTTCTAGTAGATGGAACGAATTGCACTTGGACAACTGTCTCTGAATTGGAATCTCAGCAGAATATTGTTGAAATTACCGAGTCCCCATCCTCCTCGCCGTCGGTACACAAACAAGAACAGGTTGTCCAAGATGTCCAAGTTGAAGAGACAAGCTATCAGGTGAACTCAAGTTATTGGGAGCCAATGGTAACAATGCCTTCTTCAAATGTGCAAGAAAATAAACTTGGCCCGCCTGCCAACAATCACCATCATCAGCAACAATTCGATGATCAGGAAACTGGAAACCTATCCTGGCTACTGGACTTCAAGCTGGATTCATTGATTGAGGCTGCTGATGAAAAATCTACTATACCAACTTTCAGGGACAACCATAACGGTGTGCATAGAATTCTTCAATTGGAAAATCGTGATAGTACTTGCAGCTGTAATAATTACAGCAACAATTATTATTGCATGCAGTTAATCAGAATGAAAATATTAATCCCTTGCCTGACGATTTATTTTCAATCAAACGTTTCCGCTTACGCCGTTTGATTTTCTCGCAACCCTGCGGACACGATTGTTCTAAAGAATATTGAAGTATTACAGCTTCAAATAAATTCATTCATGAATATAAACAAATTATTGTAGTTATGGCACAGGATATTTGTAAAATAATATGCGAAGTCCAGTTTCCCACTGAGAGCTCGCGTGAGTGACACTCATCATTTCAGTTCAAGGGGTTAATTAAAATTGAGGATTCTTACAAATTTGGCTGGTTTTACTTAAGTCGGAAGTTTTCGAAGTTTATATAATATATTCAAGATCTTTCAGAAATATTAGTACCGGTGTTCCGACTAGCATAACTTACTTTTTCAAAAATCTTGAGCTCTTTAATTTCATTAATGTCTAAACGTCCTTTATAGGGAACAAATCAAAAGTAAACGGACGCATCTATAGTTCTACTTACGCAAACGACATCAAAAGGAATTACAGCGAAAATGCACCGCGTCTGGAGACGAATCAAAGTTATTCGAGTCTTGATAATAGAAATTTAGCGTCTTCTCGATGCAACGGGCCCAAGAAACCACCGTTCACCTATACAGAACTCATTGAACATGCCCTTAGAGAAAGGGGGGAGCTTACAGTGTCGGCCATTTACCAATGGATCTCGTAAGTATTTTTTCAAAAATATTCAATTCGTAATTCAAATTATTCACAAATTTTTATGATTTGAAACGCTCGGGAAAGTTCTCATTCATTTAAAATTAATGTTGACCGATATAAACGCGAAAAAATCTAAAAAAAAATCTCAATTTGATATTCGTTAGATTCCTGGATCTAATCCACTGCAAAGATCATAATTTAAAGAACCCGTTAAAACAATAATACAATTACTGTTTATATAATTTTGAAAGATAAAATAAATTTAAAAGACATTTTAGTTATAAATAAACTAATTTAATCGTTTCGAGTGTTTCTGTAACGACACAGGTATTTTCGCAGCTATTTTGTTTGGTTGACAAAATCGTTTAGTAAACGGTTAGTAATAGAAAATTGGACGGAAAAGAGTTCAGGGGCTCGTGTGTCTATACCGTCGTTTTTCACGAGTCCACGATCGAACAGGTGAAAGCACAGAGTTAGTGAATTGTGCGCATTCGTGTTGGAGGGGTTGCAACGTAGAGAGTAATCGGTACCAGGTGGTACCATGTTCGAGGGCAGCGGTGCCAAGGGGTACCATCTAAGAACCTTTCTGACCCTCCCCGACAAGCCACCCCGCATCGACGCAGACCACACTCTCGTAAATTCGTAGAAACTTGTTCCCTATATTTACTGCTGAAGAATAGCTATATATCCCTCTGTGTCTTAAATCTCGTGTGCACTGTCATCCGTAAGATTACAATACTGAACTTGTGCGGTGATCGCCGTTGCTTACGATCTTACAAACAACTTTAATATGTTTCATTAACTGAGGTTGTATCAATTTTATGGAGAAACGAAATTTACGACATGCTTTTAAATTTTAGACAAATTCAATACAAGGAGATCTTTATTACAGATCAATTATTTCGATAATAAATCTTTTAATTTTCTAACGTTTATTTATAATTCATAATTTTATATTTTCATTATTTTCATTTTATATGATCAGAACGGTAACGAGTTGACTCCACGATAACGAATAAAATTATTTTATAATCAGATAATTTGTATATCTTGAATATTGTATTTTAATTTTTTGTTTAAGTAGAATGTAATATTAATGAATTATTTATGTAAGGATATAAAAATAGGATTAGTGTTTTATTAAAATTAAAGGGCAGGTTTGGATAGGAAACATTATTCAAAATTTGGTGACATTGCGAGGAAATGGATTTCTCGGTCCAATTACTGTCGCACCGTTTTAAACTATCGTTTAACCCTGCACTTCTCGTACACGCGGTTCTTCTATCTTTTACTGTTGAAAGCGGGGAATTAATTGTAGGGGTGTGTACCCTCCCGTGACATCGTCATAAGCAGGTGAAGAAAATTAGTTTATGTGGGGTGCGAGCTTATCGGCGTTCTTGTGGACAATGGCTAAAGATAAATGAAAACAATTACTTAATCATTCATCATTATGCAAAACGCTTAAAGGGTACATAGATAAGATATTTCTCTAGAAATAGCACACTTCATTAGATTATAGTGTTACCATGTCTTTGTAAATTATTTAAATATAGTTATATAAAATGTGTTACAGTGACTTCTTATACAATAACACCATTTACTTTCCTAATGCGTAATACTTTTCCTTTTTCAGTGAACATTTTCCTTATTACAAGAGCAATGACGATCGTTGGAAGAACTCTGTGCGGCACAATCTGTCCATAAACCCTCATTTTCGAAAAGGATCAAAAGCACCACACGGGGCTGGTCACTTGTGGGCCATTGCGAATCGATCTATAGACTCCAAACCTAAACAAATTACCAATTCCTCTATGAAGCAAAGTACCAAGTTGCCTGAGATTGAAAATTCTCAAAGAAGCATTAGGTGTTTATCACACTTAATTATAGTGTATAGAACAGAGGTGTCCAACCTTCAGCTTCTCTGCGTCTTGTTGGGAGAAGACAGATTGTTAAGAGCCACACATAAATTAATAGAATACTTAATTATTTAATTTTAGATAATTTAATTATAGCAACCGATATCTCACTCGTATTGTGACTTTGAGTCTCACTCGTGTCATTCATCTTTGGTCTGAAATTGTGATCACAAGTGAGAGTCTTTTAGTCGCAATCCCATAAAGTTTGCAAGCTTATGATTTTTTGTTGGGCTACATTTACAACTGTCTTGGGTAACTTATTGTCCGTGGATCGTTGGTTGGACAAGCCTAGTATAGAGTAATCGTAGCAGCATCATTTATTGAAATTCCTTTTAGTCATATAAATCCTATTGACGAAGTGGAAGCAGCTACTGCTAGCATCACTCAACCTACTTCAGGGGAAGAGGCAGAGAACATGGTCAGTTCTGTGACATTAGAACACTGCGCGGAACAAATACTCAGTGGTATCAAGAAGGAAGTAGAAGTACAGTATTTAATTCCTATGATGATGTCCAACAATGAACACGATTCGACGCAAACCAATCAACAGACGCAGGAGCTTCATTATCCTGTAAAAGAAAGCGGTAAGATTGCCATTCGCTTCTTAGTTAATAAAGATTTTGAAAACCATAATAATTGTACTTTATAGATTTCCTTAATCCAGTTTCTAAAGAGGTGTTAGCAGAGGAATGTGGACTCATAAGTGAAGGATATCTAGTCACCGATCTCAATCCAACGACCTTAGGCTTAAATATGGTTGAACCAGAAATCATTACGCCAGAAAATCTCTTTGGAGAAGAATTAAACTTTCAATTTTATGAATTGTCCTCTCCGTCACAACTTCAGTCCACTTGACACATGGAGAAAAACAAATTGCGTTTAATAGTCATTGATGAATTGCACGTACAAAATATTCAAAGTTGCGATCAGGCGGAGATTACTGACGGTCGCGATGTTCATAGTGCCACTGAAGAAAATGGACCTCGGGACGTTCAAACCAATGGAAAATCGTCATTGATAGTTCCAGATGATGTCGAGAACTCTGACACATCGTTAATGGTCAAGAGTTGACTTCTTTGATAATGATGCTGCCGCGAGATTTACATGAAACTTAACGAAACTATAATGAATGGTTGTAAAACAGATTTCTGTGAAGTTCACTAAGAAACTTAAACTTGAAAGGGTTTAACTAGGAGCGCAGCATACTAATTGCCCTAATTGTGCCTGAATATGTGTCTTATCGAATCATTTAATACTACACACTAGTATAGTTTCTTCTAGCTCTTACAGAGTAACATGTAACGTTTTTTTGTATTAGCAAAAAAAAATATAATATTTACTATGATGTGTAAATAATGTTCTTCCAATTACGGTTTCTTTCTTAAATTTAACTTCTATTTCTATTTTAAAGGGTTATATGTTTTAAACAAAGATCAAACAGGATTGATCTTTCAAATTTTACTAACTTTATAAAACTTCCTTTCAAATACAATACGCTTAGAATAAAATATTTATTCCATAGATTTTTCAGTTGCTGGTGACCCTTCCCTGGTTTCCACTGCATTTTTTTCCTTAGCCTCTGCCGCCTTAGATTTCATAATATATTCCCTTTCAATATATCGTTGTTTCTTGGCTTCTTTCCTTTTCTTCTTATCTTCCTTCTCATATTTTAAAAACATTTCTTCTACGTTTTCTTGAGTCATGGCACCCTTAGCCATTAATTTTTTCCTGATTTCTATTAATCGAATCTCCTTTCTCTTTCTAGCGGCTTCTGCTTCTGCTTCTTTCTTAGCAATTTTTTCTTGTACCGAAGTTATTAAATCATTCATGGTAGACATTTTAGCTGCGATATAATCTTGCCTGTAAACCAAACATATACATTTTGTTATAATTTTTAGCGAGTGAAGTTTTTTTTAATTAATTTTATGTACCTAGCTATTATCTCATCTTCTTTCTTCTTCTTTTCTTCTTTGATCTTCTGCCATCTTTCTTGGAGAGTCATTGGAAACGCAACTCTTTCATATTCTACAGCATCGTCTAATTCTTTGGGAGTGGGCCAAGCCAATCCTGCAGATACTCCTAATGCCTCTATGCCATATTTACCCAATATTTTCCTTTTATATTTCAGTGTATTATGAAACCAAGTTAATGGTTCATCGTAAGGTTTTCTACCATGTAATATATTTCTGTGGCCAGGGTTCAATCTAGATTTATTTCTTTTTTGTTCTATGTCTTCTGAGTCATTCTTCGCGTATAATGGTTCTTCTTCAACCGAATCAAGAACATTACTTATGGCTTTTGATGCTAAGTACCTTCTCCCATTGATATGTTGAAATTTTACTGTTAGTTGCATTTTAGCAACTAAGTTTCTTAGAGACATTTTGTATATATAAATAACTTCTTGTATTTTATTACTTACTCTATAATGCAAAGATATTGTTAATTTGATAATGTATTATTAAACAATATATTTTCCATTAACACACAATATGTTTACTTGGTTTATTTAATTAATTAACGGTTGTTATAATGGTTAACGAAATATACGATAAAGGCTACACTGTAAATCTTACTATGTTCAGTCTGTAAACGAATATATAACTAAAAATTTAAAGCAAGGTTATAATACACTGTTGCCTTCAACTTATACTTCCTCAGTAGTTGTGTTTTATTCTCACGTAGTATTTGTTTGTGAATCTTTTCATTAAAAAATACATCCAGTAAGTAAATCACAAAAAGAATTTTTTATAAATTGTATATTCGAAAATTTTAATATTGATGTAAATTATCCTCTTTGATCTGTGCAGCTTAAGTTGCCGAACAGTACTTATATTATTACAATCACATGGTATTATTATGAATGGTACTCTACGTTAATGCTTAAATATTATGAGTGGTAATAAAATATTGTCATAAATTACTTGGAAGAATTTATTTATACAATTACAATCGAATAAACAAAAATGGGTAGACTAGCAGAGGTACGATATTTTTTTAATATAAAATTACATTCTAAAAGTATTCCTACCTTGACAATTTTTCTTCAAATATGAGTATTCTATTTTGAATATAATTATTGTATAATAAAAATATGAATAATCGAAATTTTATTTTCAGGTAGCTAGTGAACAGTCGTCGGACAAATGTAAAACTTTTGTATTTATGGATGAAGGTTATACTCTAGGAAATGCTTTAGTAACAGTAATTACACAGAAGTATGAGTACAATACAAGTTGTTTTTTTATTGATTTTCAAATCATGAATATTTTAAATATTTGTGTATTTTTTTACAGTCCTGATGTGGAATTCTGCGCTTGTTTTGTCAATCATCCAGCAGAAGGAAATATTTATCTGAGGATTCAAGCTAAACAAGGAAAAGCAATAGACATTTTAAAGAAAGGATTACATGACTTTGAAAAGATTTGTGATTATACACTGAAAAGTTTTAATAATGCTTACGATCAATTTAAAACTTCTAAGAATATGGATACTACATAATTTCTTTTATTGTTCCATTTTTTTATTGTATAAAAATTAGATCATTTGAAAAATAAAATCATTCCTTATTATGGAAAATAAATAATTAACCCTCCACCGGCAATATGGATCATTAGAGGCTTGTCGAAAATTTAATTTCTTTATGACTTCACGATTTGAAGTTCCTATACAAAATGAAGTAAAAATTTGGCTAAAGTGTTATATGTATATTAAATTAGAGACTAGAAGTATCGCAGTATATTTTCTGAGGTTTACAGGACTCATAACAATGAAAAATCAAGCCTGCTCACACAGGCTAACTGTGCTGATAAAAACCATATTACCAGTAAAGAGTCAATTAATCCTAAATCTAATTAACATTGAAATTGAGAATGTTTTCATCCTAGGAAAAGTAGGAAAGATAAAAAAGGAAGAAAAACAACATTTTGATACAATGTCGCATGGAAGTTTATTGTCTAAACTTCAGCAGATTTTTGTCCTCCAACACCTTTGTGATTCTTAGACAGCCAATCTGCAAATTCCTGGTAAGGTGCTCTACGCAATGCCTGGTTATGCCAGAGATCTGGTGTTAGGTATGCATAGGTCTTTGCAATAGCTGCATAGGTTGCCTTGGCGAAGTTACCAAGGGTACACGTTGATCCTCTCGCAGATGTGTAACAGTCTTCGATACCGGCCATTTGAAGCAACTTTTTAGGTACAGGTGCGGACACAATGCCTGTACCCCTTGGCGCAGGAATTAAACGTACTTGAACTGATCCACACTTGCCAGTAACTTTACAAGGTACTGTGTGGGGATCACCAATCTTGTTACCCCAATAACCACGACGTACCGGCACAACTGAGAGCTTAGCCAAGATGATAGCACCACGAATGGCAGTGGCTACTTCTTTAGAGCACTTTACGCCCAAACCAATATGGCCTTTGTAATCGCCAATGGCTACAAATGCCTGCAAAGCACAATCAATATTAAAGAAATATAGGTGCTGCAAACTTTTCAACAGAAACAAACAACCCATTATCAGTTTACCTTGAAACGTGTACGTTGACCAGCTCTAGTCTGCTTCTGTACAGGCATAATCTTTAAAACTTCGTCTTTTAAATCAACTCCAAGGAATTTATCAATGATTTCATATTCTTTGATGGGCAAAGAGAAAAGGTAGATATGCTCCAAAGAGTCGATCTTCCCATCTCTGACCAGACGACCAAGCTTAGTGACTGGAATCCATTCTTTGCTGTCCTCTTTACCACGTCCACGACCACGACCCCTTCCTCTTCCTCCACGGCCTCTGCCTCGTGGTCCACCACGATCACCACCACCTCCACGAGAACCAAAACCTCCACGGAATCCTCCACGCGCGGCTGGAGCAGAGTCCGCCATTCTATAACATTTTATAGATTATTAATCATTTTTATGAAAACTTCATACACAAACTAAAACTTATTAACCCTTATCACTTCAAGAATATTGTAGAATGATTGCCAGTTATTTCAAATAAATTTTGTTAATTTCAAACAGGAAATTCAATTACAAATGTTGAATAAGTATAAAATAATATTAAAAAACAGGAAATTAATTCATACATATTTTACTGTTGTAATTGTGTTTGGTGCATCCGGGCTTGACAATGAGACTGCTGTTTGAAATGATAAGGATTAATTTTACTATTAATGAAAATATCTTCGTCTAAAATGCGAACGACTTTTATACGATTATCAGTCGTAAACTTAAAACTTATGATTACAAATAATCATTAATATTGTTATAACCCCCAAACACGTGGCCCTGTCAACCATAATATTTATGTGGAACATTCAATAAGAAATTAATTGTTTAATATAATTTTTAACATCTCTACAACGTTTGCTATTAAAGAAAGTAACTTGTAGTCGTATAAATTAAATATTATTACAATAATATGGAAAAATAAATTCCAGCGTACTCACGTTACTTCTTCCTTATGAGTTAGGTACGGAAGAAAGATCAAACGAGTTTCGAGATCTCGAATAGTCCGCTCAGATATATCTCGATGCTGTCGTCATATCCGAAATTCAAATTTTTAAATCTGATCATGAAAGTTAATGTATTTTTATATTTATTATACGCACGTAACAATCTTTTAATATCCTATATCATATAATTTATTTATAATACAGTTTTTTATTTATACAATTAATGACAACTTACGACGATTTTGCGAATAATAAATAAAAGCTATTCTATTGTTTTTCAAACCTCGTAATGCAGAAGTCATGAGTTTTCATGCTCTATTTCGAGCAAAATATTAATTGATCAAAATGGTTAAGTAATGTAACACGTTCTACTAATTTCTATTTCTTAAAATGAGCCGAGGTACACAAACAAAAACATGACGTTTGTATAAACTATGTAAGAATAACAATTCAATTAAAATAAAAGGCTTCTCTTAATTAATGAAGAATATATTACAGTGTCTTATGAAAAGTGACTCAAATATTTTGCATATTCTTTCTTAAATGGAAAATGAAAAATTCTACTTTATTAAATTTTTTATTTAAATGTCGTTGAACGACCTGTAAATTTCCTGTTCTTCTAAGATATCAGGATTAATGAAGGTAACATTTTATTTGAAAAAATACGACTGAGAGCATCAAACGTAGTTAGATGATGTTCATCAGATCTCATGACGGATTTGAATCAAACTTCATCTGAGGAGGCTGTTTTATTTGCACGTGGTTACAAATTTCTGAAGAAGCTGGGAGAAGGTTCCTATGCAAAAGTAAATTCTACTATACATGTTATACTACCAAACGAATTTTTAAGCTGTAATAAATAATTGCCATTTTATTTTCAAATTCACTACATTTTTAATATCCATTCCATGTGCAACAAATTTTAGGTATACCTGTCAGAATACAAGTCAGAATCAGAACCAGATAAAAACAAAAAGCTGGCCTGTAAAGTGATAGATACCACTAAAGCACCAAAAGATTTCGTGAAGAAGTTCCTGCCTCGTGAACTTGATATTCTAGTGAAGGTGAATCATCCCCATGTAGTTCATGTGCATAGTATATTTCAGAGACGAGCTAAATACTTCATGTTTATGAGGTATGCTGAAAATGGTGATCTCCTCGAATTTATCTTGAAGAATGGTGCAGTTCAGGAAAGCCAGGCTCGTGTGTGGCTTAGACAACTTACACTTGGTAATATTCATATGAAATCCTTAAAAAAATATCAGTCTTGTTTATGCTTTCTTTTACTTCCAAAGATTATTTCCTTCATTGCAAAGATTCTCAAAGCTTTCAAAGCTTTCAAAACAAAAGTTTTTGATTCGCTGTAAAAGTGTGTATACTCTTCTAGCTTTGCAATATCTACACGAGTTGGAAATAGCACATCGTGATGTGAAGTGTGAAAATGTTCTCCTCACATCAAATTACAATCTTAAGCTTGCCGATTTTGGATTTGCCCGTTACGTAATCGATGATCAAGGGAAACAGGTTCTTAGCGACACTTATTGCGGCTCCCTGTCGTACATAGCACCGGAAATCCTTCGAGGCTCGCCATACAGCCCCAAAATGTCTGATATTTGGTCCCTAGGCGTTATCTTATACATCTTGCTAAATAAAGCGATGCCGTTCGACGATACTGATATCAAACGCTTGTACATACAACAGAGAAACCGCAAGTGGAAATTCCGTAGCAAAGTTGCACCAATATTAAGTGAACAGGTGAAGAAATTAGTCTCCGCTATTCTGGAACCTGATCCAGGGAAACGTATGAAACTAGATCAGATTATCAACAGTGAGTGGATCGCTATGGATCCTCGCCTTTTAGTGCTCACGCCTGCCGAACAAGCTGCCTTGACCAATGCTCAAGAGGAAAGGAAGAAAATGGAAGAAAAATTCTCTAAAAGAGATCCTGTTAGAATCTGAACTACTTAATCCAAATGAAAACAAAAAGAGTAGCTTATAAATTTACATATCTGTTTTACAGAAACTGTTCAAAGTGGAAGAAAAGAGTAAAATACAACCGCAGCCACCTAGTAAAGGGAAACAAGATGTTACTGTTATCAAGAAAGCTGCGAACGTTTGTATTTCACCAATCAGTTTTAATGTTTTTGTTGTTTATATCTTTTTTTCGTTTGCCTTCTAGGTGGTACTATCTTCTATAGCAAATGGACCTTTTTTAAGAGATGTCTGAGAAGTGACTTTACTGCTTATATCAAATACGTGAATATTGGTTTTGAGAACTGCTTTGTTGCAAAAATTAAGTTAGTAAAATTTTTATATGTCCACACTTTTTAAGGAATATTAATTTATTATGCTTTATGTAGTTCAACGACGATAATTGTTTACATTATTTTAACAAGGAATATAATTTTGTAATAAATCAAATTCATTATATAATACAATATTATACCTAGTTCCCCACGTGTCGCATTTTCATCAGAGTTGTATCATTTAATGACCCGCATTTTAGATAATAATGAAATCCATCGTTAAAAGTTTCTACTGGTTCTTTAAGAGAGATGTTGATTATTTGCTGAGGACTAGCAAGACCTTCTAGATTCCAGATACCATTTGATAACAGTAGCAAAAGCTGATTATTTGGAGACCTGCTCATTGCAAACACATCTGTGGCTGGTAGAACATATTCTCGTAGATTTTTCTCGTATTGGTAATGCACAAGAAGTGTTTGTGAAGTCAGTCGTAGAGCAATCCACAGCGAATGCGACGTCGACTCCGCGAATGCGTTAATTATATTCGGAATGTACAAGCCTGTAGAACAAATAATAAATACAGTAAACATTTTTTAACATTTTAATTAGTAATTATAATTAGTAATAGTCATTAGCGATTACTAATTATAATTATTAGATTACTGATAATAATAAAATTGTAAACTAGGTAATCAAACCTTTTAAATGATAAAAACTTTCTTCCACATTATTATATAAGAATATAGTGACAGAATTTAATGTTATCCAGACTATAAACTTTTCTTCTTCTAATGTAATTGATTTTATTAATACAAAATCGCTCGGATTCAATTTGAGAATTACATTCATTATGTTTTTATCCGCGCAAAATTGAGAAGAATTTCTGAATTCACACTGTTCTCCCTGGTATGAAATATTTTCGTTAACAATGTTAGCAATATTCACTTCCTTCACCATTTCGATTTTGTTTAAGTAAACCGCTCGATCTATAACAGTAATTGAATGCTTTAAAAAATAAGAATAAGAATATAAATAAAAAGAGATATTAACTAACTTTGTAATGCCATGTTAATTGTTTCAGCTGCTTTGTAATAATTCTTCGTTTTCTCGGTAGAAGGTGCTATATTTGAATAATTCTTATAAAATTGTTTTAACTCTGTATTTCCATAGGAACCATTAACTGAAAAATTCCCAAGAACTCTTAAAGAGTTTTGGAACTCAATTCCTGTTTTTATTCTCTGCTGAGGGTTCTGCTTTTTTAATTGGTTATTTATTAAGTCAACTAAGTTAACATCATTCACCAAACCATCAATTATAAATATTGACGCATTGATTGATCCATGAATTATTTTCTGACTACTGATTATTTGATCTGTAGAGTTTGATAAAGCTTCTGTTAGATTTTGTCCTTTTACAGTACCAGACACACTGAAAAATTTAACACATTAGTGCCTGTCTAAACAATTGTTATAATGAAATAATAATTATAATTAATAATCCGATAAGAATTAATTACTTTATACTGTTGATAGTGATGGTATTAAAACTTTTCCGTCCTTTAATGATTACGAAACTTTCTTTCTGTTTCAAAGCATTTTTAGCCCATTCATAAAAATTGAAACCATTCAAATTTTCTGTAGTTAGAACTATCACTGTTGTTTTTTGTGCAATAATAATTTCTCCAGAATTGAATCTCATAACATCCGTTTCAAGATTCATATTATTAATTTTCCTCTTTACGTGTAATTTACCTGTGTTAATAGAAGGTTATTACCACTAATAAGAAAAAATTTAACAACAAAATTACCTATGATCTTCAATTTGTCGAATGTCCATTTCGCAGTAATTTTTTGGTTTTTACTTCGTATCACAGCATTATCAAATATATTATTAAAGTCTGGCACTGAAGATTTTACATTAGAAAAGTTTGAACCAATTATACCAGATGTTTGAATATTATTCAAAGATGGAAAAACTTGTATCTCTTGGATTCTTGTTTTACTTAAAATACGTTTCGAAATATCATCCCATGTGTCAGAATTTAATGTGTTTAAAACACTCTAAAAGAAATCATTATCATACATTATACAGAAAATGTTGTGATGAAAAAAACAAGTACTTACATTTAAATTATCATTTCCCTTCATTGAAGCATTTAACATATGCAAATTTTTCCCTTGAAAAACTGTGGTATTTGTAGTTAACCATATTTGTTCAAATAATTCTTTTAATTTAATATTATTTATACTTTGTACCGTTGGTTCACTTAAGAATGTTGTAGAAACTTTAACAACAATGTTAAGTGGAAATTTGCTTTCTGTAAATGTAAAAGAGTATGGCAAATTTATTGCATTTGCTTCTATATTTCCAGAAATCTGTTTTTTATATAAGTTAACGTTTTCTTCTAAGTTTGAATAATGAAATGGTAAGTGAGAGATGTAGATGTGGTTTGCTGTAAATCCATTACCTACAAACAAAGTTGGAATATTAAAAAGCAGTTCAAATAAACAATAGATTTCAAATAAACAACAAATAGAAAATAGATTGAAAATAGTAGTTAAATTACTCAATTCACTGAATGTTATATTCTCGAAAAATATCTTATCTTCAAGCTTGACAATATTAGCTACAAAATTATCAATGCTAATGTTATTTACGCTCCCCAGATGTGTATTTTGTTCTGAAACTATGTCTCCTACTATTTCAGGTAAATCTATTTGAAACCGAGTAGGTAATTGAAGAGTATCAACCATCAAGGCTGTTGTCTCGTGTGACCCTCTAAGAATGTTAGGATTATTCCATGAATTTGCAAATTCTTTCAACTCTGTACAATTTAAGAAAATATTAACTATTAAATTACATCATTTAAATTAAAGAATAATTTCATCTTACCTGTTAAGTTTAGATTATTTACATAAGTTGCAGTTATATTCTTTACAATGGTATTATAATAAAATGTTTCACTAGTTAGATTAAGAAATTTGAAGAGAGACATTAAATTTTTATCGAAATATCTTTCACCCAAATTTCCGAAATACATGAAAGTACGAAAACTGTTTAGGTCTCTTACAGTAATATTATCAATAGTTAGAGTAGAAGTTTTAATTTCAGGTGCTGTTATAGTATTACCACATAATGGTGCTTTAATCCTTAAAAAGATATTTTCTTAAGTACTTATAGGTACATTTTAAGTATGCGCTGTATATATTGTAAGATTCATAACTGTAAGAAATACTTGAAAAACTTACTCTAAGAATTTTAAATTCTTATAAGAAGATTTCGTTATTTCCACATTACGAAGGAAACGTTTTCTTCCTGATATAACTGTATTCTGAGAGTTAGCAGTAATCCAATTTTGGGATTCATGTAACGTGACATTGCTCCATTTCTAAGATAAGATGTATCCTCATTATTCATTTATTAAGAAAAGAATGTAACAAAAACAAACTTCTCACCATTTTTTCACTGAAAAGTGTTAAAGATACAGATACATTTTTATTTAAAGGTATTAGTTTCGATAAAATCTCTTTAACTGATCCTGTTCTATTGTCAATTAAGTCTTGCGATCTCAAATTCTCAATTTTAGCACTTTCTAAGGGCAAAACATCATGTATGTTTATGGGTTCAGAAATTGTCATCACAGGTATTGAGCGTTTTTTCCATGTTCCTTCTATTGGTCCTTGCAAATGAACATTGTTATTTACTATTACTTTTGCTGCTTTAATGGATCCAGTCATTACTGTCAGTGAACCATGTAGTGGCAATAAAAGTCCATTTCCAGTTAAGTTAAATTCTACAACTTGTATTTCTTGCATCTGCAGTTGCACTTTTGTTAAGCTTGAAGCAATATTCAGTGGTAGCAAAGCATTAGACACATTTATACTTGAGAAAATATGTTCTCCTACAATGAAATTTTTTTATGCAGTCAATATACATGAGAAACAAATGCTTAAAATTTTACCTGAAATATGCTGACTGTCGACTACTTTTAAGATATTTTTTTGTAAATCATCTAACAATATTCCATTAATTGACTTATTAATGATAATCTTCTCTATTGGAAGGCTAAAGTGTGGACATTTCCAATTCTTGATTTCTTTCATGCTCAAGGCTCTGAAACTCTTTGCTTGATTTACATTGTTTATTTTCTTCAATTTGGAAAAAAGATGAGAATTTTCTTGCACATTTAAACGATTGACTTTACACATTGTTTTACATTTAATTTGACTTTTTTTCGCATGCAAGGAAGTAAGTGTTAAATGGTCGGAATGTAAATACAATTTACTATTTAAACTAATCCTTTGGTTTCTTAGTTTTGAAATCAGTCTTTTGTATTGCTTTGTCGCTTCTTCTAATGGCTGAGAATTACGTCCATTTATCTGCAGAAATAATAAACATTAATTTATGTAACTAATTAAAATGATATAATAAATTGCAAAATCTTACATTATGAACAAAAAGTTGATTGATGCTGCCATTCAAAAGTCTAACAGGATCTTTCAAAAGTGGTTTCTGTACCAATGTTCTCTCAGCTGTTTTTTTCATATTAACAATCCATGTTCTAATTTCTTCCTGCCAATCCTTATAGGATTTTTGTTCAACCCATATTAGCTCTTTCATAGCCCACGTGCCATTTTTATATTTTACTAGTAACAATTCTTTTTCATATAATAGAACATGTTGAAAGTGGTCAATATCGAAAAGCTTTATATTTAAATCTACAAATTTCCAGCCATCATACTGATAGGACAATATTTTATCTTCATGTAAAAGTAAAAGCAAAATTGCATTATTCGAAACTATAGGCAGTGTAGACTTTCCAAATGGAATTTGTTGAAAGGGTATAAAGCGATCATGAATTTCTTTGTACACAGTCATGGAGGACTCTGTAGAAAGACTTAGAAAGTGTTCCATAAAATGACCCTTTCCTATTTGGAAAGATGAAACGTCTCGACTCAATGGTAGTCTTTGTGTTATTATAAATTTGTTATATCTGAAGAAATATTTAAAAATCAAGGTGGTAGATCCAGTAACAGCAAGATACATAAATCCTTTCTTATAGAAGGGGATTAACTTCTTAGTACCATGAGGAATAGTCTGTACTAAGTCGAAGTAATCGCTACACCAAGTATAGATTGAAATGTTCAAATGAGAAGCAATGCCTAAATATAACTGGTTCATTCCATGCCAGAGTATTAAGTCGCTTATGTTACTGGATTCCAAGTCCTGAATGGAATATAAGTAATAGTTTCCATTAGTTTCAGAGAAAGGCAAAATAAATATCGAGTCATCTTGGTTTTGAACTATCAAAAGAGCTCCATATATGCAACTGCTCACAATTATTCTTTTGCCAGTAGTTAAAGAATAGTTAGCAACACGATAGGGAGACTGATTCTGAAATAGATTTAAATTAATCATAATTTGATATAAGTAAAATACAAACAAATCAATGAATGGAACATACATTTATTTGATATACAGATATTGTAGAAACATCCAAAACTGCTATAAACCAAATCAATTGATTACTTTGAAGAGAAAAAAATTTGATATCTCGCACGTCGCTGAAATTCAGTTGATCGTAATCTTGAAACCCTTTTAATGTATTAATACCTAAAAAAAGTGTTAGAAAATATTTTACGATTAATTGAAATTCAAATGAAGATTTCAATTCAAATTAGAACAATCGATTCACTGTTCGATATTATCTATCAAAACGCACGTGGACATGGCGACACTATAAATATTAGTAGCCGTGATAACCTTAACAGTGTCTGCAATTTGTCACAATATTAGAAGTAATTTGGTTTCGTACATATAAAAAAGTCACGAATATGTCCATATATAAGGAAATAAGTGAAAACTTTATGGCTCAAATTTATGAACTGGAAGCTTTGCAATCCGTTTACCCAAAAGAATTACGAATTACAGATCATGGAGTACTTGCTGACATTAATAATTTTATTAAGAGTCCTACAGAAGAACTTCCTCAAAGATTGGAATATTCAATTGATCTTCCATTGAATGGTATGAACGATGTAAGTATTAACCATACTGCAATGCATTTTATGTAATGTAATGCTCATTTAAAAACATGCCTATTTCTTTTATAGGGAACGATTGAATTGTTAGTTAGCTTGTCGAATAATTATCCCAAAGAGAAGCCGGAGGTATATGCAAGGAGTTCCTTGTTACATAGGACACAGCAGCTTCTTCTAAATCAAGCATTATGTGACATTGTAGATCATCAAGAAGAGGGTGAACCATACATCTACACGTTAATATCTTGGTTACAAGACAAAGGCGAAGATTATATTATAGCTTCTAATGCAATTCAGAGAAAGGAATCGAATAATGGATGCAAAAATGAAGAACAGAAATCTATAATCTTTGCTAGATATTGGATATATAGTCATCATATATATAATAAATTTAAAAGACAGGAGGTAATCAATTTAGCGAAAGAAAATTCTCTTACAGGTTTTTCTATGGCTGGAAAGCCAGGTGTTATTTGCGTAGAAGGTGCCTATGAAGACTGTGAATATTATTGGCAAAAAGTATGTAATGCACAACATAATCTTCGTTTAAACTTTGATTGGAAAAATTTATGAATTATGTATTATATGAAAGCTTATAAATATCATTGAATTTTTTCAATTTCAGATCAAGTCAATGAATTGGCAGAAAATAGTGATACGATTATTAGAAAGGCAGGAGGATTGTCAGAATATAGATAGTATGCGTCAATTCAATGACATTAAAGAAATAGCTTTTCCTACTTCTGAACGTCACAATGATCTAGGACAACTATTAAAATATTTAACAGATCTCAATTTGCAACACGCATTTAAAGAATTATTTGGACTCGAAGGTAAAGTTAGTGAAATTCCAGATTTATAAGTGATAAATATTTTTAAAAGAATTATTGTTTGGAAATTATATTTATTTTTAATACTGTTTTTAATAAACACATACCTTTGTTGAATGCTTCTGGTATTTCTCTTTTTTTAAGACGATTAACAACAACTTTCGATGTATTTGCAACATGTTCTGCAATTTTCTCATTTATTTCACACAATGTATTATTATTCAAACCTTTTAATGCTAAAAATAATATTTGAAATAGTATTTTGAAAAATATAGTTACCATATTGTATAGTTTATAGAAAACTACATACCATTGTTTAATTTTAATTTTTGAAAAAATTTAGTTGTCTGATCAAGTGCAGTATTTAAAGTATAATCCTTTTGTTGATATGCCTGACATTTTGTTACATTAATTAATATGAAAACAAATAGAATATTGAATATCATGCTTGTACAAAGGCACTTAGAACACTGTTGTAAGAAGAAATGTATCACACAGATGAAAGGGAACTTGTTATATGTTGTGTTTATATTTTTTTTCCTCTTGTAGCTCATAATAGAAATTCTTTGAATTTAAATACACTATATACAGACATCTTAGAACATAACGTAGTAGTAACATTTGACTTTAACTGTCAGTGTACAAAACAAAAATATTCATTGTTTTGTAAATAATTTTTATTTAACATTAAGAAGATATTTATCGCAATCAATTTTATCTAACTGTTGCATAACGTAAGAACTCATTGGTAAGAAACTGGCCTGGGATGTAAGGAGCTGGTGGTCCAAGAATATCCTGTGTTGGACTATGAACCTTGATCTGTCTCATATGCGTGTCCCGCCCATTCTGATGATTACTTATTACAGCTATCTGTATCATAAATGTTCTGATAGGTCTATCGTTTATATCCTTTATTGGAATTACAACCCAACCACTTGGTTCATTCAAGTCCATGACTTCTACTTCTTGAAGATCATTGAAATTAGTACCTGCCCTAATACTTATTCTAGAAATAATTTAAGTCATTAAGATTAATAAAACATGAAGCAATTTTGCGTGTATCAACAACATTCCGCACATTTCAATAATATTTTCACCTGCTGGGAGTATAACTTTCATCCAATTTATAATCTGTATAAATACAAATATCTCTTATCGTTCTTTTTCTCTTGAACTGAATATTCACTAAGTGCGGAAGCTGACCATCAGATTGCCAATACGTTTCTGTAACATCATCTCTCAATTGATCTACTCCGAAACCAGGTTTGCAGCTGGATAAGCTCCAAATTGCATGATTTCCAACTTCTCGTACATGACCAGCCAATTCTTCTTGTACAGGATCTATTTCTCCTAAATTAATGGGATATCAAATAGTTATTTAAAAACTTGTTTCTAAATTACTTATTAAAGCTTTTAATCATATTTTTTAGTTTATTGGTTAAGACGATATATTGTGTGGTCTACAAATAAATAAAATATCAAATTAACAAATTGAAATATAAAAAATTATCTACATTACCAGCTTTGTTAGTCATAATAGCTTTGGATAATTTAGAACACCGAATTCAGATCTTTACAAATTCTTATTATTTATTAGATCAAAAGTATCAACCTTGTTCGAAATTAAGCAGCTTTTACCATAGAACGGACAAAGATTATTTATTTCCAAACTCACAACAAGAACTGTCAAAACTGTTGTGATAAACTCATTGCTGCCATCTACGTTAGCTGTAGGAGGCATATTTGATAACAGTAAAATGAGCACCTCTGCTCCGGAAGATAATTCAGTGGTACCCAATTTTCAATTTGTCAAATGGTCCATCAAGTGTAAACAATTTTGAACGGAAATAATAAAATGGATCAAATAAAGATCCCAAAGGTATTCGTACGTAATATTTTCGATTATTTTTACACAAAATTGCTTCGAATAAATATTAGCCTCAATATGTTATTTTACCGTTCTTGTTATGTACTGTTCTCTGTTATCTTTTAAAAAACAAGAAAAAAGACACAAAAATTTTCGTACAGTATATACTCCAAAGCAAAACGGTGCTTTATTTGGTTAGAGAAAGTATATAGATCGAAAATTTAGACGATTGTGAGAGTGTTATTTTTTTCAAATATTACACTTGTTATTGTCTGTTTTAGGTGGAAAATGTAAGGATTTTAGATAAATATAGTAACAATCACTCTGTTGGAACTCTTTTTTTGACTGTACCTCATCTTATATTCACCGAACGAAGTGGAAAGAAAAAGATTTGGGTAATGTGTATAATACATTACCAATGTACAGTAGCTCCTTATTTGTTTAATCTATGACTATAAAAGAATTGGTAATGTACTAATGCTATATTATATATTTCAGGTTTTATGCACTCATATTTCTAATATAGAAAAGCAGCCTCTAACTACAACAGGCTCGCCGCTATGCATCAAGTGCAAACACTTTTTTATTGTTACGTTTATTATTCCGAAAGAACGAGATTGTCATAATATATATCAAGCGCTATCCAAATTGTCCTGCCCAGGTAAATTTAATGAAACTTATTAGAAAACAACATCAAAATTTAACTTGCATTTTTTTAGTAAATTTAGAGGATCTCTATTGCTTTTATTATCAACCTAGCGGGGACACCCTGCCACAGCATGCAGGATGGAATTTTTTTAATCTACAAAGTGAATTTCAGAGGCAGGGTGTTCCTAACGAGGAATGGTCTCTGTCTTATTTAAATGGGAATTACGAGGTATGATAAAACTTATTTATACAATTTTCATTTAGATGCTATAAATATTTATAAATGTATTAAATATGTTTTCAGCTCTGTGACACTTATCCCAAGTATTTATATGTGCCCAGCACAAGTACTAACAGTACTCTGATAGGTAGTGCAAAATTCAGAAGTAGAGGAAGATTACCAGTTTTAACATATTTACACTCTAACAAGGTTCGATTAATATACTAATGATATTAATATATGAAAATAAAACATGAAAAAATTACTTAAGAATTTTCCAGTTATAAGTACACTTATTTTTTTAAAGGCCGCCATTTGCCGGTGTAGTCAACCTCTGTCAGGATTCAGTGCTCGATGTCCTGAGGACGAACAAATAATGTACAACATATTATGTACAAATCCTAATTCCAAGTATATGTACGTTGTAGATACACGACCGCGCGTAAGTCTATAAACATCAACCAAGGTATTTTTGTAATTGTAAACGTTCTCACTATTATATAATTAAATCTGAGTGAAACATTTTTTTTTTTTACCTAATTTCTAGAAATATTAGAAATTAAGTTCACGTTTTATTCGTTCAGATTAATGCCTTTGCCAACAAAGCTGCAGGGAAAGGATATGAAAACGAGAACTTTTACGATAATATAAAGTTTCATTTCTTTGGTATCGAGAATATACATGTAATGAGAACCAGCTTAAACAAATTGATAGAGTGTAAGTCTGCTATTTCATTTTTATTTGATAAAACACTTCGTTGTTTTAAATATTTCTATTAATGTCTAGTACAAAGAACAACTTCGATGAGTGCATTCTTAAATGGTTTGGAAAACAGTGGATGGTTAAAACATATAAAATCTATATTAGAAGCTGCTTGGTTCATTGCTCGAGCAGTTTCAAATGGAGTTAGTGTAGTAGTGCATTGTAGTGACGGCTGGGATCGTACTGCACAAGTGTGTTCGCTAAGCGCCCTCTTATTGGATCCATTTTACAGGACGATCCAAGGTTTTCAAGTAAATACCAGTAACGTTAATGTACAAGCTGCTCAGTTTTATGTACTTTGTACATGCTGTTCAATTATTTCCAGGCGTTAATTGAAAAAGATTGGTTGTCGTTTGGACATAAATTCAGTAACCGTTGTGGTCACGTCATCTGTGATAATAAAGAATTAGCGCCGATTTTCACACAGTTCATTGACGCGACGTATCAATTATTGCAACAGTATCCATATAAATTTCAATTTAATGAATTCTTCTTATTGACTCTTCACGATCATGTGCACAGCTGCCAGCATGGCACTTTTATAGGAAACTCCGAAAAGGAAAGGCAGATATTGAGGTATAAAAACGATTCGTTTATTACACGTATATGTATATTATAAATTACAACTCCGATTATTTTCAGAGTATCGGAGAGAACGTATTCCTTATGGGGAGAAATGGCAAATAATATGCACGAGTACATAAATCCGCTTTTCAAGTGTAGTCGTCATAACGACGAATCCAGCAGCGTTCTTCAACCAAAACTGGTTCCACAGAGCATCATGTAATACACAAAATTATTATTTACGTTCATATTTTTAAAGGAAACGAATTATATGTCAAACCTCGATAATTTTGCAGTTTATGGCGAGGAATGTATTTCAGGTTTGAGAATGGTATTCATCCTAGAGAAACATACGAAGATTATTTGTTAACAATGCATGATCATACCAGTTGTCTGGAAGATCATGTAAAGCTTCTTGTAAAGGTATAAATATTATCTAATTTTTACGATTTTATTTATCCCGTCTTTGATCTAATTAGTAACTATTTAGAGAGTAGGTGCCTTGAATTCAACGCTGAATTCGAACAATGTCCAAAGAAAAGGTGTCCAAGGGAAACATAAGTATGATAATATGTATGTTAAAGATCCTTTATCCGAAACGATCATAGAAAACACAACGAATCACGAGGAAAAGAACCAAAATAAAATTCAAATTAATCAGTTAGAAAATGAATTGAAGACGGTTGCGTTAGATTGGAAATCAGCTAGAAGTATGGAAGAATGTTCATGTTCTACCACATTCGACGCATTTAACAGAAAGGTGTGTAATACAATTGTGCTCTTAATTTTGAAAATGGTGTGTCATTTCGAGCATCAAACATTATATTTCCTTATAAGTTACACGTAACATTACATAGTCATAATAAATTCTTATTTTTCGAGACTAAATATTTCTTGAAATAATTACGTAATAAAAAATATTGTTTAATCTATTCAAACATACACCTTTAAATATCTCGAAATTCATTTCTAACGGCACTATTGAATTGTTGAAAAATAACTGAAATGAACTTTTTAGCACCATTGTTGGTCATGTGGCGAAGTACTGTGCACCAGGTGCATGGGTGATCATACTGTTCTCGCTGGTCATCTTTCACAACGTGCAGTGCCCACTTGTAAGTCATGTACTCAAAATTCCAGTATTCCATCTACTAGTCCTTAAGTCAGTTTTTCCTTAAATACTTAAATTTGTGATTTGTACCTAAGATGTACATTAATTAAACAATGTATTGTTAAGATTAATTAAGATGAAGAAAATAGAAATAATACTTTTTAAACGAATGTTTTCTTTTAAACTTGATAGTAAAAAATTGTATATTTTACATTTCTTCCTGCTTTCTCTTTTTTAAATATATCAAAACCAAAGTACGTCAAACATTGAATAAAAGGAAAAAAGATGTGAAGAAGTATTAAAAATAAACATAATTTTGTGCAAATTGTATTATATTAATATTTTTATAAGAATGCACAATAACACTTTTTTTCAATAAGATTGTTTTTATTTAATATTTACGTCGACTCGTCTATCGCTCATAATATTAAATTAATAGTTCTTTAATCGAATTATTGATCGAAGTTTTTCATTGGAAAATAAATTTTTTGTACCTTTAAAATTAGAATCTTTCCTTGATTAATTACAGAACAAAATAGACTTTCATAATGTATCGTTTTAATTACTCTTCAATGTTCCAAACTTAACAGTTATAAATAATATATAACATTATATGATACATATTTATTCACATTGTACACTTTATTAACGTAATGGCAAAAGGAGTTAAACAAATTATTTTTAAAAAAAGATTAGTTACATTGAATGATGTAAACGTCTGTGATAACGAT